AATGGGTTAAAGCACCAATGAAAATTGATGGTAAAACATTTGTAACTTGTGAACAATACATGATGTATCAGAAGGCACAATTATTCAATGATCATGAAATGGCAGAAAAGATTTTAAAAACCTCCGATCCAAAGCAATGTAAAGAATTTGGTAGAAAAGTCAAGAATTTTGATACCAATCAATGGGAAGCCAATAGAGATCGAATTGTTTATGAGGGAAATTATGCAAAATTCACACAAAATGAAGAAATGAGAAGAGATTTACTTTCCAGATTGGATGTTGAATATGTTGAAGCTTCTCCATATGATAAAATTTGGGGAATTGGATTGGAAGAGAAGGATCAGAGAGCTCATGATAGATCTCAATGGAAAGGTTTGAATTTATTAGGTAGAATTATTACACAGATCAGAGATGATTTAATTAATGAATCAGCAAAAAAGTAGAAATTTTATATTTTTCTTAAATTGCAATAAATTTGATCAATATCGAAATTTACAATTTAAAAAATGGCACAAGAAAAGTATGGTTTTATTGGGAGCATTTCACTCCTGAATCAAAAATTAGAAACACGAATTATTTCTAATTATTTATCAAATTGGCAAATTCATTATGCAGTTTCGGATTGTTTCAGATATGGTACTATTGCATGTTTAGGATTAAATTTAAGTGAAAATCCCAATGAAATTAAATGTATCATTATAAATGATAATCATAATACTAGCAAGCCTCTTGATTTAAATATATGTGAATTAGTAATTGAATTTAAAAATCATGATCCATTGAAATTTGAATGGAAACATGTTAAACATTTAGCAATTTCAAAACAATTTCTATTCATTTGCACACATTCTAACAAATTATTTGGAATTAGAAGGGAAAGTGACTTGTATGATGAGAAGGTTAAACCATTTACGAAATGTATTTCAACTCATGGTAAAATAATTGAAAAGAATATCAATCCCTCACAACCAATAATTTCAAAGGCACCATCTTGTTATAATATCTTTGAGATTAATACTGGTAATAATATATTATTTAATAATATTGAATTCATATCAGCTAATATGTGGGCTCTTTTTATTTTATCATCTAATGGAAATTTATATAGTATTGGATATAATGGAGATGGAGCTGCTGCAAGAGGTATGAAAAATGTTCAAGATGTTGAATTGGGTGAATGTGAAATCAAGTTGAAAGGTAAAAAATGTCAAAAGCCAAAATTTATTAAGGTTCTTGGATATAAAAATAAGGTAGCTGCACTTACTGATAATGGAAGAATTTTTTTATGTGGAGAAGGTGAGTTGTTCAGGTATTGGAATAGTTCAATAATATTTGCAAGATGTTTTACCATTTATGGGTGAGAAATCACGTCGTAATGTTTACGCGTTTAAAGAATTAGAATTACCTTACTATTTTACTGATATGGATTTTGATACTACTAATGGTATAACTGGATTTATTAGTGATGATAATTGTGGAATAATAATTGAAAGAGGAGGAAATGTCAGGAAAATATTTGAAAAAGATATTCAATTGAAGAATTATTCAAGAGATGATAGTGAAGATGAGGAGGATGATGAAAAAGATATTGGAAACCAGGCAGAAGAAAAGAAACTAATCAAATATTTACGTCATGCTGACTGTGATATTTTAATATATGATAATTATTCTATTGATATCAAATATAGAGGTGTATATTATTCATACAAATTGTCAAGTCCTATTTGTTATCCTAACAATGGATGTATTTATGAATTGGCATGTGACAGATTGAATGAACTACGTTTTTGGAGACCAGAAACTTTTATTTTATTGT